CTTTTCTATTACTTTTTAATATATTTTGCTACATAAGTATTTCAGTGAAACTTTAAGCCCATATGTATGTCTGATTGTTTATTATTGGCTTTCCACAATCCATGTATCAGACACATTATACTAGAGGCCATGATTGCTAGAATAGCATGGGATTTTAAATTTTCTAGTATTGGGTATATTTAGTTAATTACAAATTTTACTTTTAACATTTTACTATGTTTTAACTGGAAATAAAATTATGGCTGCTAAAATATATTTTTTTGAAATCAACTCTTCAGCCCCGCCAAATGAGGTAGTTCATATATGACAATGTTATAAAAGTTTTCTACAAAAATTCATTACTATTGCTATTAAAACATATGTCATGCCTATTAAAATATATTTCTACTGGTGATTTCAACATTGTTTCTCACATTGACTTTTATTACTGGAACTTTTCATGTTCATGTTAGCAGCATCTAGAGATTTTTGAATGTTTGAATGCCCTCTGCCTTGATTTAGTTGGAATTTTGTTAAATTTGGTAATGTTGCTTGAACTTTCTGACTACATTTCTTTTAACTTTTTTTCATGGACATCCTGTATATAATAATTAAATGTTGAAATTTATGAAATACTTTTATGAATTTAGATAATTTTTAAATATTGTTAAATTTTGTTGAACTACAGAGTAATGTAAATAAAATAATTCATGTTAAACATGGAACAAAATAATTAACTTTACATGTTTGGTGATACAGATGCAAATGTTTTTGAAATATGGAGATGATAAGTCTTTTGACTGTACTAAAGGTGCTGAATAGCATTAAATTCTCTATTTTCCTTTATTGTTTTACTTGCGAAAATCATAGTGCACTAAGGTGGATAGAAGGTCTGCTTGCATTATTCACCAGTTGTGATTAAACATAAGGTTTTTGTAAGTATGTATTATAAAATTGATGCATGTTTATTTTTAGCATTGTGTTACTGCCTCTGGTGTTAATAAATGAACAAATGACTAGAGGAAAAGCTAAAACACTTGCTAATTGAATATATTAATTATAGACCACCATGATTATATAACTTATAGCTTTTGTAAAGTATTTTTATAATTTACATCTTTTGCATATATTAAGTAGTTATATGGTATTTCATTGATTGCTCTCCATAAATCTTTACTTTTTAAAAAAGTACTTGAAAATTCAATGAAATGACTAAGCAATAATATACCAAGTGCACTGTAACTGGAAAATGTAAATATATGCATTATCTACTATGTATTTTTGCCACACACATTTTTCATCTTCACATACCTTGACCCTGAATTTGAAATGCCATGCTTATTTCTAAGTTTGAATAATCTCTTCCAGGATAATCAAAGAATTCTTCTTACTCATAATCATATAATTATATTTAAGGGTAAATTGCTCTTATAATCATAGTTGGTTGATTGGTTATTGGTTGTTTTAATACAGTTTTAAAAGCCTATCCATGATCATGGTTCAAAAATCTAACAAGCATTACTTCTGGTTCACCAGAGAAACTATCATGTGCTATTCGCCTCCAAATTCAGATTGCAGGGGTGGGGTGGGGGAATGATTATCTGAAACACAATGATTGACTCTCAGAGATTCAAGCATATTAAAACACTAGAGGCCTGGTGCATGAAATCCATGCACTCGGGTGGGTCCCTCAGCCTGGCCTGCGCCCTCTCGCCGTCCGGGAGCAGGCCTAAGCTGTCAGTTGGACATCCTTAGTGCTGCCACAGAGGCGGGAGTAGCTCCCCCCACTGCCACTTTGCTCACCAGCTGTGAGCCCCGCTTCTGGCTGAGCAGCACTACCCCTGTGGGAGCTCACTGACCACCAGGGGGCAGCTCCTGTGTTGAGCGTCTGCCCCCTGGTGGTCAGTGCATGTCATAGCAACCGGTCGTCCCACTGTCAGGCCAAAACCAGCTCTCTGACATTCCCCGAGGGGTCCCAGATTGCGAGAGGGTGCAGGCCAGGCCGAGGGACCCCATCGGTGCATGATCGGGGCTGGGGAGGGACTGCACGAGGGATCCAGGGCATGTCTGGCCCATCTTGCTCAGTCCCGATCTGCCGGACCCCAGCAGCAATCTACCGGTCAGAGCGTCTGCCCCCTGGTGGTCAGTACACATCATAGTGACTGGTCAACCAGTCAACTATCTTCCCCTGGTGGTTAGTGCATGTCATAGCGAGCGGTTGAGCGGCCTTAGCATATCATTAGCATATTATTACACTTGGATTGGTTGAACGGACGACTGGACACTTAGCATATTAGGCTTTTATTATATAGGATATACCAATATGAATTCTTGGTTGGAGCAACAAAAAATATGATAAACTTAAGAAGAAAAATTATTCAGTGGAAGAATATTAGGCAGCTCTCAGAATTGATGGAAAGGCTGGAGGACCAGCCCTGGTAAACAGTAGAAAATAAAGGAAGCTACTAGTAGATGAACAAAATCAGAGCCATGTTCCAACCTCAAAAAGAGCTGGAAGTTTTTTGTATTTCTGATGACATTGATGCCTCTGAAAACTGGATTCCAGGCACTGCTGATATGTATCACTCGTTCCAGATTCAAAGTCTAGTGGGAATGTCCAACTGACCAAGCTTAGTCTTGTGCCATCATTCAGGCTGTCAGACGTCAAAGACAGCAAGTATATCTGACCTCAGCTTCCACAGAAGATGGGATATTTCTCCTACCAAGGTTTACCAAACAGATGAAATGCACTTGATAACTCAGCACCAAATATAAAAACTTGTCACATGTCTACTATAGTCCATTCCATCTCTGTCTTTCCAACATCTACATATACCATTCTTCCCATATTTACACATTTAAAATGCTTCCTCCTGATGTAATACTATTATCCTTCTGCCATTTTCAACTCCAGAATCTCAGTGATGTCCATCTCTCCTCTGGTTCTATAATCTTGTCTCAATAGTTTTAAATCTATAGACAAAATTGTAACCTAATCTCCATTACCACCAGTATCTATACTAATAAAAGGGTAATTTGCTAATTAGACCGGGAGACCAGACATCTTCCGACCATCTGACTTTCTTCCAGATAAAGCCACAATGGTGGGGGCCAAGGCAGAGGCAGTTAGGGGCCATGAGGCCGGCAGGGGAGGGCATTTGGGGGCCATGAGGCCGGGAGGGGAAGGCGTTGGAGGCCATCAGGCTGGCAGGGGAGGGCAGTTGGGGGCCATCAGGCTGGCCAGGGCAGTTGGGACCGTGAGGCCAGCAGGGGAGAGCAGTTGGAGGCCATCAGCCCGGCAGGGGAGGGCAGTTGGCCATCAGCCCGGCAGGGGAGCGGTTAGGCAGCGATCAAGCCAGTGGTCCCGGATTGCGAGAGGGATGTCCCAGATTGGAGAGGGTGCATGTCGGGCCGAGGGACCCCCTCCCCCCGCACGAATTTCATGCACTGGGCCTCTAGTATACAATAATAAAAGATAGGAAAAAAGGAAACAATATATAAACATACATGAGCCAATGAGAATATAACTTGAACAGTGCTTTTAAAGCTTCCTTGGTGAGAATTACTTGGGTAACTCATTTAAAAAAAACTCTAGAGCCCCATTACAGAAAAATTGAATCTCCAGGAATAGAATATTGGTAGAAGCATGTTTTATGTCCCAAAGTTCTATGATTTTCAAAAATATATATTTTTTTGGTAAATATAGTTCTCAGTTCGCCACTGGTCATGAAGACTAGATGAGTATGGCTTGTCACCACTGCCACATATTCCATTCTCTTTGTTTTCAACCAGACCTCACCTGGTCAGATTTGTTTACCTCATGGGTGACACAAGGATCTGTGGCTTGGGTGGTTTTGCCTAGATGCAGTTGCAACAATCTTTGCTTAATTTTTACAATTCAACATGCTATTGGTAGGAGGTATTCCAAGAAATGAGATTCCCAAGTTCTAGTCAGACTCCTCTCCCTACTCCCTTTACCCTCATGTTCATCAGGGCCAATCACTCCTGCTGGTACCATTACCACTTTTTCTAATTCCTTGCCTAGAGGAATGAGCTAAAAATAAGTGGCAATCCCAACTTCCAATTCAGGGAAAACATATCCCCTTGTACCTCACTCAGGGTGCAAAAATTGGTACACCAACAGAACCTGGAATCATGGAGATGCTGGCAAGACCAGTGAAGGGTCTGAGTTTTTAGCCTACTTGCTGGCTTTCTTGCCATGGTTTCATGCTGACAGAAGAGTCCTAGGTAAGAGACAAAAGACTTTGATACAGCAAAATAGTAGCCAAGTGTCAGCCCCAACACCCACAGTGATGCAGAGGGCCAGATGACACCTGTACATCTGGTGGGTTGCTTTGCAGTAGAAGAATCCAGAGGTGAGGGCCAACAGTTTTTGAGCAAGCAGCAAAGAAGCCAGTATCTTTCTCCCAGGAGAATAGCAGTTACATGGTAGTAATGCTGTAGTTGCTTTGACCTACTTAGATGCCTGTATGACTAGCTACAGAAATGTTCAGTATCAGGAGATGGATGTTTTGCAGTTGACATGCTCAGCAATAATACGTAGGGACACTTGAAACTCATGGCAGATTTTTTTTCTCTCCGCAATGGAAAGTAAAATATATGAGCCGTGTGTCAGGTGTAACAAGGTATCGCTCCCTCTGCTACTCTTTGGACCCTGTATTCCAAACAAGATACAGGTCAACAGAAGCGATATCACTGAGTACTGTTAAATTATTAGGAGGATATGCCAAATCCTTTTAGGCAGCATCCCAAAGTGTATTATCTCACCTGGTTCCAAAAGTAAACCTTCAATAGGACTGTCCATTATTTTATGAGACCATTTGCTTCTGGTCTGATGGGATATGTGATAAGACTGGTTAATCCCACAGGTATCATACCCTGCTTCACATCTTTCACAGGAAAGTGAGTTCTTTGGTAAGAAGCAGTGTTGTATGGGATGCTATAGAAGGTGTATGGTGTATAAGGTATTCAGTAACACAGAGGGAGTATATAAAAGAAGCATGTCAGTGAAAGCAATCCAGACCCAGAATAATTGTCTTCCTATAGAAGAAGCTGCTACGGCAGGTTTGATTACAATGGGATCTACAAATAATAGTGCTAACCAATCAGTCTTGGCAGAGGAAAATAATGTTAAAAATATGTGCATGTCTCCATGCCACCGTGGCTACCTTGTTAGTGAGCAACTGAGCAAACAGCTGTGGTGGGGGAAGGAGACTCTTGTCTACAGAGTGGGTCATTGTGGTAGACAGCCTCCAAAATGGCCTTCAAAAATGCCCACCCGCCTGTATTCATCCCTTGTGTAATCCCCTCCCTTTGAGAGTGGGATGGATCTGATTTATTTCTAATGCTAGAACACAGCAAAAGTGATAGATGTCACTTCTGAGATTCGGTTAAAAAAGACTGTCTCTTGTCTTGATCAATCCCCCCTTTCCTCTCGTTTGCTCAGTCTGTGGAAAAAAGCAGCTTCTATGTTATGAGATGACCTTTGGAGAAGCCCACATAGCAAAGAACTAAAGGAGGCCTGTAGACCAACTAAAACATCCTGCCAATAATCGTGTGAGTGAGTTTGGGAGCAGATCCCTCCCCTCGTCATGCCTCCCTATGAGGCTGGAACCCCAGCTAACAGCTTGACTGTAACCTCATTTAAGAGGTAGAGCCAGAGGCACCCTGGCACCTGGATTCCTGATGCACAAAAACTGGGAGAGAATAAGTGCTTTTGAAGCCACAAAATTTTGGTATAATATGTTCTGATTAAAAGCCCTTTAGCAATGAGAGCCTTTTTGAGCATTCAATCAGACCAAAATATTCTTATGCTTTGGGGCCATTATGAGAGGTCCGATTCCACAGAAGTATTCCAAAGCCTCTTCCCAGTCCCTTACCACTCGACTAACTCAGTGCCCAGGAAATGTCATATCTCCTTCCAGGCAAAGTGTATAAGATAACGTTCTGCCCTCTAGGAGGATTTTTTTTTTCTTTCCTCACTGCTGTTTCTGAGGGTCTCTCACAAATGGGTCTTTAAAAGCCAAAGCCAGTCCCTTGCCAGCTGGGTCAGTACATTGAGCAAAATTACATCTGTAATCCAGCTTTGAATTTTTTTCTTACCCAGGGAACTCCTTGTTAAGCTGTAGATATGAGCTCAGGGTCAAAAGTATGCTAATGAAAATTGGCTGTGGTTTGTTTGTTT